CAGTAAAAAGCAGCTAGACTCGGTTCTTAGAGATGTTTCACCCTCATCCAGAAGACTTCTTCAGTGAAAAAGTGCCAGATTAGTTACAGAGACGCTTCAGGACAACAAAGCCCTGATCTCAATCCTGGAGAACATTTGTGGGCAGAGCTGAAAAAGCGTGTGGAGCAGGACGGCCAACAAACCTGACTCAGTTCCAGCAGTTCTGTCAGGAGGAATGGGCCATCAGACTGTTGTGAGAAGCTTGTGGAAGGAAACCCAGAATGTTTGACCCAAGTCATACAGTTTAAAGGCAACGCTACCAGATACTAAGGAAATGGATGTAAACATAAAAAAACAGCTTAGGTGTTATTTTTAATGTAATGGAGTATTATTACATTGCTGTCTTTTACCTACTTAAAGTATTTCAATGCATGCAGTAGGTGGCTGCTGTTGTTAAAGGTCCATGTCTTAGATCATTAACAGTCAAGTTGGAATTGGAAATTCTGCTGGTCTGACCCCAGGGAGTAGTGGTTTAACCCATGAAGCGGGATGCAAACACTTAAAACAACATTCAGGTAGTCGGCTGGGTCAAACAGAAAGAAAGGCCACAGTGAGTTTTACAAAAACCAAATCTATGTGACCAGGAAGTGATCAGACAATAAATCTTCTAATGGAGTTTTATTACATTGCTGTCTTTGTGCCCACCTTTTTCTTACTCAATTGGAAGCAGCTTTTTAATATCCTGAAGCAGCATTTGTGTTTGTTGTCCACAAGATGGCGCACTGACCTCAGTGTGACTCTGCTGGATCTTTTAATAAAACTGTGTTCACCTCCTCAACATAGAAACTTGTGGGTTTTTTTTACACCTGTGATAACATCCCAGCTCATGTTTGTGCTGCAAAATCACTCCAGATACTCACAACTTTCCCTTTCATTCACATGTCATTGAGAAAATCCTGCTTTTGCCTTTTATGGTAACAGGAGGGCATCATAAAAAATAAAAAAATAAAAATCATTTTCCTCCAGACTGGTTTACAACTTAGAAGGTGGCCTCGTCATGGCTGAAATATGTATCAGAAAGTTGGTGGAGCAGTGGTCTTTGCAAATACTTGCCATGCTTTTCAAGTTACACACTGCAGCTTGAACTACACCTCTGTGCAGGGCTGGAGGGAGGGGGCGGAGCTTAGAGGGCAGGAAAGCGCCGTGATTGGTGGACGGTCGGTCCGGGCGACAGGAGACAAACTCCAGGAAAAAGCGTCGGAGCTGGTGGCGCAGCGCGTAACGGGGCGAGGAGGAGCAAACTTTGTATGGACATGAGGATATTCTGGGATAAA